CCCCCCCCCCCCCCCCCCCCCCCCCCCTTTCCCATCTGAAGTGTATTAATAATCTGCTGTTGATTCTGGCAGCGTTGTAAAAAGGCTTGGCTGAACAGTCTGAAAATCACTCCACTGACACCCCCAGAAAATAAGGGAACGCTATCTGGAACATAAGTCACATCCCGGTGTGAGTTTGCTGACAGGTGTACACTCTCATGGGAGCGCTAATCCTCCTGCTTCTTCATCTGTGTTTGTCCACCACCACCGACGTACCGCAGCACAGGGACGCACAAGAACCCCAAGACAAAGCAGAGGCATATGCAACTGAAACTCAATGACATGCAGATGTGATCTGTGCAAATCTGTATGCAAAGCACCCGTCTGATTCCTATCACACAGGGCTGGATGTCATATCCATCATTTTCATGTAAGGCAGAAGATAGGAAAAGCGCACTTGTAAGGGTGCGGATGAAATCATTTCCATTCGGTCGTGCATTGCCAATATGTGGTTAGTTATGCTTATTCAAGATATGTAAATGTTTGCTTTAGAAAAAAAAAAAGAAAAAAAGGATATAACAGCAGGGCGCGCTCAGGACGCTCCATTCCCAGCGAGCACGCGGGATCCGCTCCTGGTTTTGCTGCTCCGCTCATCGCAGCGTGTACACCTTCCCTGACTCTCTCAACAGTCCAGCATTGCTGTGCAAGCAGATGTTTCTCCTCCGACGCCAATTCTTGCAATTCCTGCATTTGGAGAAGGTATTCTTTCGCGCGAAGAAAACCTGAAACTGACCGGAAACTGGCTCCCTCCTCGGCTCAGTGAGAGAGGGAGAGTTGTGGACGGATAGCGGCTTTGGAGAAATACAGTACAGTAAATATATATGTATATATATATATATATATATATATGTATATATATATATATACATATATATATACATATATTATAATAATTGCGGCGGGGAGCGAGGCGGCACTTTATTTACCACACCTGTGATGCGTTGTTCTGAGCAACGAAGACGCACGACCGGGATGCTGATGGCCACGGTACGGCAGGAGGATATGTGTTGAGGAAAGGACTTGGGCGTTGTGAACAAGGCGTTAAGTGCTACAGAGGACACTCTCCGGACCTTTTTTTAAAAAGCCCAGCGTGCCAGTGTTTTTGCTCCCTGTCTTTTTGAAACTTGGGTTGATTAAAAGAAGAAGAAAAAAGCACGAAGATGCCCTCACTTCTGGGCCCCTTTGTCCGCTGCGGGTTCAGCGCTACGCTCCTTGTGCTCGGGCTCGTCTTCGCTGGCTTCACCTGCACTGGTGAGTTTCTGTCGCCTCTTGTCATTTACGCCGTTGTGTTTTTGAATTATGCTGTTACACATTTGTGTGTGTGTGTGTGTGTGTGTGTGTGTCCGTGTGTGTGGGGGGGGGGGGGGAGCACAGTGTGTACGTTACGTTGCAGGAAAAAAAAAAAAGGCTGCACGCCACAAGTTTTGCTTGCGGTTTTTTTTTTTCCCCGACATGTGGCCGCGCGTGACAGACGAGCACATTGTTGGCAGGCGGTTTTGTTCTGCTATCTGCTAGCACTACTACCACTCATCAATTAGCCTCCACCTCCAAGGTTATACCTATCGGAGAGAGCGTGTCGCCTCGCACGTGTCAACCAAGGTTAAACAACTTGGAAGCGAAATTATTGCCCACCCTTCGAGTGTTGCGTATGTGTTTATTTGCCGGGATACAACATGAATTTCACCCCCACTGTCCGTGACTGTGAACGAAGTTCCAGCTACACCTGCTTGAAAGGAGCAATAACCTGCGCTTTAACAGACCGGGCGCGTGAACAATAAAATGCGGTGCTCCTTTTCATATGTCACATAAACAACCTTCAGTACAGTTTATTTTCTTTGCGAGTCTAGCGCCAGTAAAACAAGAATATCCCGGTTGTTATTACATCTGTGAGCTGTGTGTAGGGCGGACTGGACAAACCTGTATTCATCCGTCTCACCGGCTGCTCTGCTGGCTGCAAGCTAGAGGATCATTGCACTCCTCGTTTCTCTCTCAGGACTCGTTCCTGCTGTATTTGCAGAATGGTGACAGATTTACGGAGTTGGTGGACGAGCTTCTCGCGCCGATGAGTTACGTGTTATGATGTAGCCTCTTGGCCAGACACTCCCGGTTGCATGCAAATGTGCTCAGATGCACAAAACAACCAGCAGCAGCAGCAGCGGGGCTGAAATACTCCCCAAGTTTTCCCCAGCAGCTACAAAAGCAGCCCTCGTGTGAGAGACAGAGAGAGAGAGTCTATACTGCAATTTCTGATTTTCTTTCTACTCATTTCAAAGATCAAATATGCTCATAACTCTAGTGGGCTATTTATCAACAATGCTTGCCTGATTGCCTGTTTGATTCTTACGACCACCCTGGTGCTGTCCGGTGACCCTAAACATCATAGGTCACTGCACTCGTGCACAGTCGAGCCAGTCGAATCAATGTTGTGATCAATGCAATCAGCTGCCACGTTGCCCATAATGCACCATTTCACAGTTCAGCCCTTTTTGACTATTTCTTTAGAACACTTTTCTTTACTCTCTCTCTCTCTCTCTCTCTCTCTCTCTCTCTCTCTCTCTCTCTCTCTCGCTGATGCTAAATATCATCCTCACAGCTGGAAGCAGCTGGTGAGTAGGTTATCCCAAAAAACAGGAGAATTTCACACATCATTTGCCCGCACGCTTGTTTCCGAACTGTTAACCTTGCTTTGGACAGAAGGCAAACATGTTAAAGTTGGTGTAGTTGTGTCTCTTGCTTCGGGACAGCGAGATGATGAATTAAGAGGGCTTTTCTCTTGCATTAATTAGGGTATAATTATGAATATATTAGGATTAAATAAACAGTCGTGCTCTAGAGGCCTCATGTATCAAGCTAAGTAAGTGCTAGTGCGTTGGTATTTACAAGTCATTTTTATGATGCATGTTGGAACCGATACTTTTAGATCGGGTCGCTGGGTTATATGGGCGGCGTGGCGGTTCAGTAGGCATTGTTGCCTCACAGCAGAAAGTTGCTCAGTGCCTTTGGTTCTATCTGTGTTCATCTGGGTTTCCTTTGGGTGCTCTGGTTTCCTCCCACAGTCAAAAGACCAGCTTCATGCCAGGAAATCCCATAGATTTGATACCGTTTGCCCGTTTCTTTGTTCGCTCATATGCTGGACCGGAGCTCTGTCCAGGGTGTTTCCCTGCCTTTCACCCAATGCATGCTGGGATGGGCTCCCAGCACTTTCCAGCGACCCTAAATAGCAACGACCCAGTTCATAAAACAGATGAACGCAGGGATATGGGTGAAATCGGTTTTATTCTCTTCTAGGCACACCCCTCTCTCATACATCAGGTCAGCACAAGCATCCCTGAGAGCTATACCATCACAGCTTACAGGCTACTTTCATAGGACAGCGTGAGTTCCGCAAATGGATCGGAAAGGTAATTTTGGTTGCCAATTCTTTCGACACGAGGCCTGGGACAGTCTCGGCTGAGATCAGTCGAGCTATCCTCCTGTGAGAGAGGCAAAGCGCTGACTCGGCAATTGTCAGTATCAAAAGCCGACTTGTCTTTTTTTTTTTTTTTTTTGCAGGGAAACATAACTCAGTCAGTAATAAAGGTAAGCCTGTCAATCTAGATTTGAGCTAGCCGAGCACTTTCCCTTTCGCTGTGTTGTGAGTGATCTGACGGGCCGTACAGAGGCGGACGGTATGCTTTCAGCCTCAGGAACAAAGAACTGTACTGCTTTGTGTGTGTGTGTGTGTGTGTGTGCGCGGACCACTTGATGTTTTTAGTATGCGAATTGCGTGTGTCAGAGAGAGAGAGGGTGTTTCCACAAGGATTTGCATGCATGCATTTCTGCTGCATGTGTGAGGTGTGTGCCTGCAGATTACTCCGTCTCCTGTTGCTGCTGTTGTTTCCCATTTATTTAAACTTGCCTGTTAGTCAGTTGTTAGTCCCTTGTTCACTTAAAAAATAATAATCAAAAAGCCAGCTATCCATGCGGAGAGAATAAATCCTGGATTTTTCTTTGTTGTCCCCCCTCTGCCCATTGAGAGCGTTGCCAAGCGATCGTTGTGTGGTTCATCGAGGGAGCTTGGGAGTTGGTATCGGGTACCATCCCTACTTGTGTGAACAGCCCCCTCCGAGCAATTTCCACGAGGTGGAAACCTTGCGATGATGCAAGGAGATGGCCATTAAATGACAACAAGCAGAAATCTATTGCGTAATGGAGTAATTTGCGAGTTCACATTTATTTGTACAGTAATATGAGATTCTTTTTGCCAGAAGTCTCTCTCATCATCCTAATGTGAATCATCTCAGAGTTGTCTTTGTGGCAGCCAGTTTTGTCTCTCCTCATTGAGTCACTAAAGAATGCGATAAGGAGAGCGAAAGCGGAAATTAACATAATTTATTGGGGGAAATTGCCTTCTGGTCAAAGGAATTTAAAACCACTTCGTTTCTGTCCCATTGCTAATGCATGGCAAATGATTGCCACGTATTTGCGGGGGATATGGTCTTTCACAGGGAAGTAATAATTCACTACCAGAAAGAGTTTTTCTTCCCTCTAGTCATGGGAGATGAATTCAAATGATACAGACAATGGGAAGACTTGTGCACTAGGGGAGGGAACTTTCATATATATTTATTTATTTTTCTCAACTGCTTATGCTCACTCAGTGAATTAGCATGATGTACAAATGCGGAATATATCATGCAAGGAGGTAATTACACTTCAGGGGGGAAGAAAAACGTAGGGGGAAATATTAGAATGGTTTCACTCCTCAGGAGTTCAAATGCTCGTTATGAATTTTAGGCTGCTTACAGAATTTGACTTGGACAATGAAAAATTAATTTGGATTTTCTTATTTGCAAGGACAGAGCTGATCAATTGCATTGCTTTTTTTAAATTCACTTTCCATCATGTTCATTTTTCTGAAAGTAAGAAGAAGGAATCTCCTTCCCGTCGAAGTCTCTCGAAATGTAATTTCTTCAGTTTGAGTTCCCGTGATTAATGGAGGCAAAGATAATAGTTCAGCATAAATGAGTACGAGGTAAACAGTGCATGTCAGCGTAGGTCAGCGTTAAACAATGGAGGAGCACGCTCCGTTTGGTGCCTTATCTTTCAGAAGGCTATGTCCCTGCGCTTATCATTTGCAAATGGCAGTCTTAGGGAGCAAAAGGAAGGACACAGGCGTTGCCGAGGACACGTGGAGGATGAACCTTGCAGAGGGGAGGAGTTAGGTGTTATTTTCTGCAGTCTGTGCAGAGGCCCTGCGAAGGCACTACGTCTCTGTCAAACTCTGCCCTTTTGTTTCAATTACCCCATTTCTATCTTTCAGGTCTATGTCAGAGCGCTTAGGGGTTGAAGTTGGGCCGTTTCCCTCACGAAATGTGGTGCACCGTAGTCACTATTTGTGCTTTCCTATCGGGGCAGCAGAAAATGTGCCTTTCACCTGTGGTGATGAGATTACCCGATGTTTCAATGGGAGCCTGGCAGAGTTGAAGCAAATAGATCCGCACACCAAGTAGCTCCCGTTTGTGGGATTTTATTGCGGCGTAACGATTCATTCTTCCTCAGACTTCTGATGGATACAGAGAGTCGCCATCTTAGTTACCTGTAGTGCTCATACAGGCACACGTGACATACCACACCTGTTGCAATTAGTTAACATTAAATAGTAGGAAAATACATAAGAGCGTACATACAAAGCAAATGAGAATAAGTAACTTTTGAGAATAAGTCAAGCTGTTAGTGTTCGCGCATATTCTGAAATTTTGACTTTGTTCTAGACATTTCAAATGTATTGTCAAAATGACAATGGCCTGCTGCCACCGCGACCTGACCCCGGATAAGCGGTGGAAAATGGATGGATGGATGGATGTCAAAATGAAAACAAAAACCTTTCCCCTTATCTTTTCCCTTATGCCTATACTTTATTTTATACATACAAGTTAATATTTTCCTCTGTATCTTCTTTATGTACCTTTTTGTATCTGTAGTATATTTGTATCTTTGATATATTATCAGTGTATATGCTGAATTTAGTCTATTTGCAACAGGTCTGGTTTGTCACAGGTACTTGTATATAATCTGCTACATATTTCTGTGATCTAGCACCCATCCTATTGGGTACTGGGATGTGTGTTTTATTATTTCAATGGGAACCTGGACCATAATTCCTGGAAAGGCACCACAGTGTCTGACATAGTATCAGCTGTTGGGAGATTGCCCTCAATCTCTACTGTTATGTTTCTGTCGCTGCTAACCATCCTGTGCCGACACAAGCT